GCAGCAGCAAAAAAAGAGAAAAAAAAAAGAGGTGACAGGGAGAGTGGGAAGTGAAAGAACAAACTCACATGTAAGCAAGGACTAGAAACCTGGTTCTACATGCCCAGTGCCCTCACCAGCAGCTCAAATCCCTTCTGTGCTCACTCCCTCTCTATTCTTTCCCCTGAAAAGGCACACACCTTTCCACGACAGCAGAGTGCTACACTCTCCAACTTAATGGCTGCAGCAAACTTCTGGGGCTTTAGATTCACATTTTTCCCAGCCTAGAACTCCACTGAACTCCAATCACTCAAGCAATTACCTCTGCTGTTAAATTACTTCTATGCTGGCTCAGGGAGACCAGTGCTGACACAAGTACCTTCTCAGCAAGCTCTGCACTGTTCTTTGACAACCCAGCACCAGGGCAGCTGGCAAATGGAACACGATGCAAACCCTCAGGTCCCAGAGGGACTCTTTCCTTGGGCGAAGGGTTCCATCGCCCGGCAGTCCTTCCTGCTCCCAGCCTGCTTAAGATAAACAGCAGTAGAGATGAGGCTGGTTAAGAAAGAAGTCCCTACTGTAACTGGTTGGGGTGGGTAGAGGAAGAAGAGAGGGGACCATCAATGATGCCGGTCAGATACACCTTATTTTGTGCAAGAGAAAGGACCAACAAAGTTCTAAGATTCACAGGGTGTTTCCAGTGGATTCTTTCAGATGAGGCTGGCAGAAGCAGACTTCTGCGCTTCTGGATGTGGGCAACAATTAAAGATTCTGTGCTGCGATGATTCATGTGCCCGAGCCACAGAGATGGAAGGGATATCAAACGCAGAGGCATCAGCGAGGCTTTGTGGCTTGCCCTAGAACAGTTTCCTGACGCTGGCTGGCTTTGACCCCGTCTGAGGCTTTTCTTTGTGAACGCTGCCAGAGGCCAAGCGCCTCAGGAATGGAAACCCGAGGGAGGAGTGAGCTTTGCTGAGCCTGATTTTTGCTAACACGGGTAGAGCTCTCCAGCTTCATTCCCGTGCTACCTTCTAGGCTCTCAGGGAAAGCTGGGCTGAAGTTCAAAAGGGACGCGCTGCCTCCTCCTGCCAGCATGTCGGAGCTAGCAAGAGACAGACACCATGATCTGAAAGAATCTTCTCTCCAAATCTCGACGCTGACTGGCATTCACAGCATTGCCTTTATGCAGAACAAACCATCTCAGCCAGGGCGTGCATCTCTTACCTCTTGCCCTGGGTACTGCCACCTGAAGTTCACATCTACATCGGGCTCCCCAAGCACGGTGCAGATCACATGCACGCTGTCGCTGACTTCTGCTCTGTTGGATGACGCCGCGATTGTGGTTGAGGGCGGGCCCTTGGGAACTGAGAGACAGTGTTTGGAAGCAGAAAATTAGTTTCTAAATACACCGATAAAACTTAAGAGTCAATTTTTGCCTCAGTTTGCTTAACGCAACATGTAAGTGATGCACACCTGCAGCTTTCCCCTCTACACTGGGATATGCTGGAATTTAAACGTACAAAGTTTTATCACATGTACTTTTGATCAAGATTTTAAAATTCTATGTTTACGTTACTTATTCTATTTAGAAAAAAAAAATCCTAAACAATGTCAGCAGAAGAAACGAGTCGGTGTAAGCATGTAGAAAATAGCACCTTACCTTCCACGTAGAGTAGGTGATACTTGATGGAAATCTGAGGTGCTCCCTGTGACTCTGCTTTGCAGTAAACAATACCTTTATGGTCAGAAGTAGGGTGCTGGTAGACAAAACCCTTCTTCACATCATAAATAATATCAGTTCCATCTGTTTCAATTTCTTCTGCCGGAAATTCCCTGTGTAGAGTTACTTTTGCCGAAGGAGTAGTAACACGGCATGGGATGACTGCAGGTTTGTCTGGGTTCAGGTAGACAATCTCAAAATAACTGGGAGTAGGCACAAAAAGTTCCTCTTTATCTGTGCAGAAGAGTTGATATAGATAGAACTGTATTTACATCTTGGTTTAACAGAATGTATGACAAGAGAAAATAGCTATGAGCAACATTAAAAATTAACCCAAAGCTTTTTACTTTAAATTTGCACACACAAAAGAAAAAAAAAACTTTTCTAATCTGTAAGTATATATTTACATAGCTTGCATTAAAAACATGCAATAAGAAAGAAAAACAAAGTATTCGTCACCGTAATCAGATTTTTTTAATCATAAGAAAATCTTTGGAATTCCTTTTTAGTAAGTTTCCAAAAACTCAGCTGGATCTAATTCTGTTCACTTGCCCACTTTTAAAGGGTAACACACATAAAAACCCCAACAACACTGGTAAGATAAGCACTATTAGAAAGAGATGTTCTTTGGAGTTACAGCCTTTTAATACATATGATTTTAGGCAAAACGTTTGATTTACTGCTGTAAGTGGCTGAAATATTTTGTGTTTTTAGCATGATAGTTAAAGACTATTTCCATATTTGCCACGTTGCTTAGAAATTCAAAGCTGAAATTCATCTTTCTAGTAGAAGTGTTTCTACAATAACTTGACTGAAAAGTTTATTCCAGCCTTTCTAAAGGAATTTATCCTCACAACATCAAGCACTTCTGATAAATGGCTTCTGTGCAATCTCATAGTCTAATTTAACTTCAAAACGCATCACAAACAATCCTATCTTAGCATTTTGCACTGAAGTATGTGCAGCCAAGAATGCTTTAGCTCTAATCAGGCAGCGAAGGTTGTTTCACCATTCTGAATGTCTTCCATGAGAAGAACAAATTAACCATTTGATTTCAGCTCTGTTGCACCAAGGAGCAGTAAACTGCGCACAGCTACCTACTCTGACCCTATCCATGTGCTGTTAGGGCTACCATCAACCACAAGCTCTGTGTGACAACACATGTACTTAAGAGATTTTTGCCTCTCAACATGCTATAGACTCTTGAGAGACACTGTGACCTTGCCAAGATCAACGAGGTCAAGATTTTTAAGTCAGTGCAGGTAACTGGAAGGGGATAGGGGGAAGAGTCCATGCGGTCATCTGAATGCCATGACAAAATGAAGCTTCTGCACAGGTTTATTTTCTTTCTCCAGACACATTTTCAAAAATTAAACATTTTTTATTCATTTTGTAGAAGATCCTCAGAACGTGTGTTAGTATTTTCAAAGATATTTGCTTTCCATTGCATTATGCGTTGTTTTGGGTACACATTTAGCATAATCCACAGGGAAAATGGACTCCTAAACCACAATAAGCAAGCAATTTTCTGCTCACCAGCACTGTCTTCCTTAACATCCACTAAAAAAAGATGAAAATCGTGGAAGAAAAATCTTGACAGTGAAATCGCTGATGTAGCTTTATTCCTATCAGCAAACACATTTCCATTAATAATCCCCCAGTGGGTTAATTACCTGTGAAAAAGATGTACGTTGAACCTGTTCTAGTCTCATCCTTCCTGCATTTGTTACCGTTGCACAGCTGAAGCCAGCAGCTGTATTCACCTGTGTCTGCTGCAGTGGAGTTTGCGAGGATCAGCTGACCGTACCTGTCAAGCTGCTTTATGCTGGCGAGAAGAAAAACAAAAAGGCACAGACAAGCACAGATGTATTGCCTTGTACGCTTCTGTCAGCTCACTTCTGATTTTTTATTCCTCCTCTACAACTGACCAACCTTTCACTTTCAGAGCAACTTCCCCTTTTGCTCCAGCACAGGCCTGCTTTATTGATTTCAACTACACACGAGCTCTCGCAAGCTCTTGTCTTGTACAGCTCATTCTTGGATTCCTTTCAGTCCCCATTTTGAAACTGGGCTGTGACTGCTGTAGCCAGTATGTCCATCTACGTTTTGTCTCAGTTTGCCCATGTATATCACGTTTTTTCATGCTCCAAGTCAACCTCCATGCATCTCAGTCTTTTAATACCATTAACTGTAGCACTCCTTCAACAGTATGTAATAAAGATAATTCAGGAGCAGCAAGTAGCAGGTACTTTAATAAGAGCTTGTTTGATGATTTATGCCTGCTTTCACTGCAAATGCTTTCCCACCTTTAACACACTGGTCCAAGTCTCCACCTGCAAACACCTTCATAAAGAGCTTCTATATCAGCCTGGATTTGATCTGCAAGTAACTCGTTTTGCATTGCCTACTTCTCTGCCCTAAGCCACCTCACTGGCATCCTCTCACCGGAGATCCCTCATCACCCCTCGGCTATTTCAGAGCATGACCCTGAGAACTGCTGGAGGTGTACTGACAGCGTCATCACCTAACTACACAAAACTCAGCCTGTGTGATTATTTCAGGCTTGATTTGCTTTTTTCCTCCTTCTCCTGAATTTCCCAGATACATCTCTCAGTGGATTGACACTTGTCAATGGGTAAATATTTATAAATATGTAGATATATATGTATATACTAACAATGTTTCCGAGGGTCAAAGGTCCTGTCTATGAAATTCAGCAGTTACAATCTCATCTTGTTCTTTTCTTATTTTAAGGTTTGCTTTCCTGGCTCTTCCTTGCAGACAGATGGTACCACAGTTGGTGGTCTGCCACGTGGCCTTTTGATGGATTGCAAAAGCAATGGTCCATCAGGACCAGTTCTCGGGGAACCCAGTCAGGACAGCCGTGTGGCAGAACGGGTGCACTCCATGCTGCTCTGACCCTTAAGAGTGGTATTTTCAGCCACCTGCCTTTACATAGTAGCACATCCACAACACGAAGATTTCCTGCTGTCCTTTGCAAGACATCAAGTTACAAGGTCACTTCTGTTTTAACCAAGTCAGGAGAGATTTTTCCAGTTTTAGGCGCTTGATAGCAAACTTCATTTCAGTGTTTTAAATGGGGTCTGGACAAATACGCAACTTGCATGAAGTCTGAAGAGCTCCCACACTCTTATTCAACTGTGTGTTGAATATTTATTATCCTCCTATTTCTTCTTATTAAGGTGGCAGTTATTCTGTAAGGCAGATGCCTGACTGAATAACTTATTCCTGGGATTAGCATGCTTTGCAGAAATTCTTATCCTCTAAAACATTTTCTCACTGTGTAACAGCCATACTACAGACACACCTGACTGTACCGTATGCTCTCAATGTTCTGTTTTGTTTACATCTCCATTGCAGGCAAAATAACAGAGGGGCCACTACTCCCAGCTACGCGCACCTCCCGAAATGCCTCGCTCCCCAGGAGCTCTGCTACCAGTTTGCACTACTACCAGCAATCACAAGCAACGGTTCATGGAACCCAACGTTCTGCCTCCAGCCGAGGCCAGCAGCTCACAAATTAACAACACACCAAATGCACAACCCAGACAGGGCTAACTGAGAATTACCTTCTCCATTCAAGCCCTCAGACCCCATCAGTACGCTCATCCACCACGGGGCAGTTCTGAGGCCTGCCAACAGGCAAATCGTGTTTCCTACCCGCTAACACACTTGTCCTACACCACCCTGTCTGATTCCACTTTCTAGAATCAAGCAGCTGCAGAGCAGTAACATGTTCATTTTTAATATATACACTACCTTACATTATAAATTATCTTCTGGTTTTGGATAAGCTTTGAGTGATTCCTATTCATGCAAGAGATCTTGTTGAGTATCCTACCCAACGGGAAGAAAAGAGAAATCCAAAACATGTCCTACTCTGTATTATTATTATTTAGTTTCACAGTTCACATTTCATAGGCTACATGACTACATCAGCATAAACCGTTTTGCAAGTATCCAGTACTAAATGTCAATATTACAGAGAAACCATTATGCCAGAACATTTTTGCCTCCAACCATTAATGCAGACACTGAACTATAGCTCAAAATCCCAACAGACAGAAAAATAAGGTCAGAGTTAATTAATGTGTGCTGCTTAACTGAGAACAAGCTATCCAGTAATCAATGGAAACAGCCGAGTGAGGTAGTCATCCACAAACATGCGCTAACAAAACCTGGCAATTGAAAGTGTTGAAACTTATGACATAATCATATTAAGCAGACAAAACAGGCCCTATAAAGTACATTAGAAGTGGAAAATCCTGTCAGCTGACCAATATATCCAGGATAACTTTTATTTTATTAGTATTTTAGATGCTGAGACATCTGACTCCAAAGCCAAAATTTTGCTGTGCTCTATGTATCACAAAGTAAAAATGTTGTACATACAAACACTTCAAGATTGTTTAAAGAAACTAGAAAGTTACTCCAAAATTTTATTCCATACATTCACCTTATTATGCTTTAGTTATCTGAAGTTCAAAAGATCTTTGCCAGAAAAACTAGGCCAAGTTTTTAAGCTTAAAAAAAAAAAAAAGATACAAAAAGACAAAAACACAGTCTACACAGCATCACTCAAAGAGCATCTAGCAACCTCCTCTCAAGCAGCTGCACTCATACTGACAAAAGAGAGCTTATCTCAAATACACGCTCACTAGGAGAGGAACATAACATCTTACTGTTTAACACAAGAAAAACATCCCTAGCTTTCAGACTTCCGAGCAAATGGGACAAAATGGAATTCAGTTATACACATGGGCACAGCTGACACCCTGCTAAGCCAGCATGAGCCTGCATTCCCCGAAAGCAGCCTGATTCTGCCCTCTGCAGCATACAGCTTCCTCAGTACTTGTGGGAGTGCCCCCAGCCATGCACCCCCCACACACAAATGAGCATATGAGGCATGCCCAGCTCTTTGCGCCAGCTTCTTCCACTGGAGCAGTCCCATTTCACTATGAGTTTATTTAAAAGATGAAGTTCTGTGATAAATACAGCCGGTCTTCGGCAAGCGAGAGGCCCATGCTCCAAGTCAGGCAGAGCAGAGACAATGCGAAGTTAGACTGCCTTCATCCAGCACAGCTTTTTGCTATAAAGCATAAGAAGGGGAAAATGTGCTTGCCCTTACTTTTATTTCATCCCTCTCAGGTTTTGTTTCTTCTCATACATTGTAGATCCAGTTTCTGGGTGAGCCTACAGTCATTAATTTGTTATGCACAGCCTTACAAAAAAAGCGTTCTAGCCCTTCTGTTCTGGAGGCACACAAGCTACCTTTGACCGTTAACATTGCCACGATTTTTGGCCAGTTCAGCCGGTACACAAAATTTCCAGAAAAAATGTTATCTGCAGGGTGTATTTAGGCTGCACAAGGCAAGAGAGCATTACAGATAACAAGCCAGTCCTGAAGCAAGCTGGTGCATTATCCTTAACTCAGGAGGCAAGTTTGCATGATTCTAGCTTTCTCCCCAGAGCTGCACTGCATCCTACAGTCTCTAAAGTGAAGTAAATCATTTCAGTGTGTACTGTTATTTACTCCAGTTAAGACAGTGGCAAGAGAGGATTTCTCCTCTGGCTCAACAAGAAACAGCCAAAGAGTCTTCCTCCTCCTTTCACTCATCATCTTCCCCTCCCCCATATGATAATTTTAGCATATGTTAACAGCTACAGACCTATTAAAAACTGAGACTCTCTAGTACAGCAAACAAAAATATTTTATTTACCAGTTCATAAAGTATACCTACAAAGAAAAACCCAAAGAAACCATAACCACTAACACTACAGAAATGGCTTTTCTAATTATAATCTCTTCCTCCTTAGAAAAGCCGTATCATCCTGCAGGCTGCTGTATGCTCCTTACCACATGCCAGTTAAAAACGTGATAAGCATGGCATGGAGATAAAACATCTGTCTTTTATCCCTACTTGTTTTTACAGCCACCCATAGGAAATACATTATGTGGATGCTAAATTTAACTAGCTGCAAAGCAAAACACCCTCTCCTCCCAGAACAACAGACAGGAAACGGAACGCAGTGAGCAACAGATCTTCAGCGTCAGCGCCCGCCCCGGACCCCTGCTCTTAACAAACCCTCCAACCAGCCGAGCCACAAATGCCCTCACCACCCTGAACCTTCAGGTCTCTTCTGCCTCCCCTCACTGCAATTCTGTTAGATGGCAGGGTCCTCAACCCTCCTCTTGCAGCAGCTAGAGTTAGAGGATGTTAGCGGTTCCCAGGAGATGTAAAACACCTTGCTATTGTTAACATTCCCATCACACAGGCTGAATTCATACATCCCTACTATTATTTAAAGAAAAATCAAGAACTGGATGCCTGAGCATCTGTTGCTGTAGGGATGTACCAATGAACAAAAGAACGGCAGCTGCCTGACCCTAGCAACTACATGAACCCCATCGCCGCAACCCACTCCTCCTCCACTTCCCATCACCTCCTCAGATCCCAACTGCTCCTCCCCCCTTGCTGCCACCAGCTCTGGTGTGCACCAGTGCCCCAACCCCAGCAAAACCAGCATGGAAATCCCAGGTGAAAAAGCCCAGCCCAGTTAATTAGCTCAGGTTTCACTCCACACCTCACTAATTGGTAACGAGAGGATTACCTTATACTTGGTCTTTAAGCACTCAAAAAACATTAGAAGATACTTGACATACATCTGTCTAGATGATGAAACAATTTTTACCGTAGGCTATTTGCTAATAATTTTTCTGATTCCCCACCTTGCCCTGTATTCAGCATTTTGTTTTAAAAGAACATGTGTAAGATCTTTGTAAAATTTTAAAATTTGCCTATTGAAGTTGTTGCTTTGTGCATGGTCTTTTGTATGCCACCACAAAGATCTAAGTGCCTCTTGAAAGATGACAGCATTGTCAATAATCTTTTCTGCTGCCAGTTTGCTTACAAACCCTATCGAGTTAACTAAGTAACATGATATTTTTGATACTTCCAGTTAAATTCAATCAAAGCTTTCTAAACCCACGAAATATAAATTTTATATATCACATGCTGTAAAGCAGACTTTATTACATATGCATCTATTAGCACTACAGCAAAAATCTTGAGATAATTACCAGTCATGCTAAAACTGTGATGAAAATATCACTGCACAAGAGTCTGTGGTCAATGTCTCCATAAGTTATTACTATTCTGTGACTCTGAAGTGTGCTACTAATCTATGTTTTCAATTTCTCTAGTTAATTATAGGATCCAAAATTGTTGATTCAGCCTAACTCAGCCTTACTGCTTCAATAACTTATTTCAAAACAATTTTTCTAAAGCAAAGATCATAATATTTCAATATAAACCCTTAAATATAAGCCTAACATACTTCTAAAAGAAAATAAATACTTAGGCGAGTTACATACATCCAGCCAAAACGTTTCATAGCATTTATTTTGTGTGATGTTATTAACTTTTGTTTTATGGTTAAAATATTACAATACTGTGAACTTGAGTGAGAACAGAAAGGTAAACTGCTGAGGCAGCAGAATTCCAAACTACTTCAAACTACAAAATGCAAAACCACAACTGGGAAATGCCTTATCTTTTTTCCCCCAAAACTACCTTAAATCTTGTATTTTGTCCCATATGCATCACTAGGAAAGTACTGAATTTTGCAAGAGAGGAACAGACAGCCAAACAAATAATGAAGCAGCATTCATATTCCTCTCCAAAAACTGTGAATAATTGCCTTGCCTTCTTCAATGCCAGATTGTAACACTCAGATAACACGACCTGGAGGTCTACAGGATCAAGTCATGCCAGCAACCTATTTGTAAACACACAAAACATAGACTTCAAAACGACAAGCACTACCCCACGCACACGCTCCCTGTTGGTGTTATTTTGCACACTCAGCTTTGGCTTGCTGGAAGGCCAGGGCTGTAACGTAGCTGCTAAACGCCACCTAATGGAACAAATCCAAATAAAACATTATTTCTTGCAAAAGAAAAAGCAGTAGTTGTTTAAATCAGCCACAATATCTCTTGAGAGATATTGCTGCGAGAAGCCCGCAGCAGAAACAGGCTTGCTGCTGTGACTTGCTATGACAGAAGCCCTGCACGAGCTACAGAGGTTTATTCAGCCAGTGCAGTTCTTGAACTCCTCAGCCGTCAGGGTACAAGAAAATAAACACTCTGAGAAGACCTTGCTCACCACTTTCAGAAGGACATGCTAGAGATCATGCTGTATAACTGCCAATTTTCTAAATTCCTCTTTGAAAAGATAAGCGGAAAGCGCAGAATATCTCTGAAAATTAATTAACTGGGAGTGACTTTAAGGTAGCACCATACCTGTACATAAGCGAAATGGATCACAGAGACTCAGATGGCCTCAGTTATTTACAGAGAGCGTACACACTTTGCTTAATTTAGGAACAAAAGGGCAAGAGGAGTTGATACTTTCGCTCACACCTCAGTGCCTCTCTCACCTAATAGTACAAGAAAAGCTCCTTACAGCTCTTTCTCAGGGCATCATTCACAGTGCTCCGCAATCTCCTCACCGCTTGTGTTTCAGACACAAATCTCCACAAAACAGCCAGTGAAAACAAACACTACTCATGGCAAAAAAATGCGTGTGAAAGACATCTTTAAGCTCCTTATATGCCCCTCCTTTTTCAAATACAGAATTAAATCACTACATTTAACCTACAGGTAGCTATGTGTACTATCCTCAAAAACTGGGAAGGCAAACAAACGCATGGGGCTTTGGAGAAGATTTTTACAGCAAGAGGACACCCACCTGGTGGGGCAGAGAAAGGGAGAGAGTCCTCAGCTCCTCTTCCTGCTCTAACAACTATTCATTCCGCTTCCATCAAGATGTCACTAGATGAAAGAAAAAGCGTTCCTAAACCCAAGGTGACTATCCTCAGCATTAAACTCTGCCCCACCACAAACCGTGCAATTCCCTTTTGCACGCAAAGCTACTTTTGACAGAAAAAGTAAAGACTACCCTGACTTGCTCCTCAGCAACTTAGCTAGTTGAGAGATGTGGGTTTGAGCCTCTTCAGGAAATTAATCTTATGGTCTCACGTGGCAGCTATGTTAGCAACCAGTGCAGCCCACCAGGAGCAGGTCTCCATAGAGCAGAGCTGGCAGGGAGTACCTGACATCCACACTCACACATTTTGAGAGTTTTACTTTGAACTAGTTCCAGTGTGGTTCCCTGTTAGTGGCTGGAGCACACTGGCATCCCACTGGACCACATCTTCCATTTTAGATTCATCTGAAGGAAATCCAGTTCACGTGCTACAAGACTATTCCACACCTCAAATCACACAGCAGTAACTCGTGAGGACTGAAAGACGCTCATCCTTTTTTGTTGACATTAGAAACCACTAGATGGAACATCTTGATTGCAAACATGTAAAGAAACAAACATAAAACCCCAACAGTGCTGAAAGTGGTAGGAAAAAAAAATTCTGGATCATCTTTCCCCCCAGAAAATGAAAAATAGCTTACCTGAGTCTGGAGTCTTTAAAGGTGTCTAAGTACGAAGGATAGTCCCAAGTAACGTTACTCCCCTTGCATCGCAGTTCTATGCTTTGTCCTGCAGACAGGCTTAAAGTGGCAGCTAGTTTCTGGAAACGACCTTTATCCATCACCTGTGTCAGTATGGACTGGGACTTCAAAGAGGAGTCAGCAGATTCTCTCTCCTTCATCTTAGGGGTTTTGGGTTTTAATTTTTTGTTAACAGGCCTAATCTTGTTTTCCCCAGGTTCTTTTGGACGCTTACCCCTTGCAGGCTGTCCAATAACTAGTAAAATAAACAAAAGAAGGCAACATTACTGACTAGAAAAAGGTTATATAGTCTTTTTGCAAAAAAATCTTCCTTATTATCACAGAGAATAACTAAAATTTTGTTTTTCCTATAAAGAATTCACAAAAATGAGCAAGAGTTAATTTCCGTAAGTTTTTGAAGTCTCTGGCATGACCTGTTTTCCTGGGGAAAAAGAAATAAAAGAGATCTTTCAACAACATGTGGAAAATCTATACTCAGAGTTCACATAAACAGACAAATATGTAAGGTATGAGAACTTTGCAAATGGAAAGGGAAAGAAATACACCATTTCTATCTCCAGCTACTTTTGTCGTTTCTACCTCACGTCATCGCCACTTTATACACGATGCTACACAAGTTCTCTGTCTTCATAAGGATGTCACACACCCATCAGCTCTGCATAACCTTTTCACACACCATGTTACCATAAGAGACGCGTGAAGAAGAATTAGAAGCATGGAACTTTGTAACAATTTATAAGACACTGACAGTGATGCACTTTTCTTCCTTTACAGTAAGTACTGTGAAAATACAAACAGCACTTAACGTCACTTGAAGGCAGTACTTAATACATTGCTTCTCTGTAACAGCCATTTTACTTTGACAGTCCAGATGAAAAACAGAACCTTGTTTAGAGGCAAACAGTAAGAGATTTAACTACCTGTTGGAGACAACAGGGATGCCCAGCTGTCTTTAAAAACAAAGCAAAGGAAACAGAAAGCAAAAAGAAAAGTGAGCTGTCTCAAAAAAAAGAAAAAAAGCTATTCCCACTTTAACTGCCTTTTTAATCACAGATATTTTGTGATATGAACCCAAAACTGCTGCCCCCAAACACCAAAAACTCCACTAACTGTGCCTGACAGCTAATTCACATTGAATACAGCTTTTCCACGTGAAAATGTTCAGGTATGTTATCGCAGAAATCAATCAACGAGCTTCCTCTGGAATTAAAAATAACCCCGTTGCATACTGAGTTAGCATGAGCTAACTGGCCCTGACTGCCGCAGGCACAGCAGCATTTCCAGACTCCTGCCACTGACGGCTCCACGTCCCTCATACCCCGGCTGGACACCCTGCCCTGCTTCAGCCTTCCACTGGGCTAAGCCCAGGCCGGCGAACACCACATCTCTTGTAAATGGCACAGAGCCTCGTATGCGCAAAGTTAAAAACCAGGAAATTCAATGTGAACGTAAGAAAATGCTTGTTACAGTGAGGGTGGTCAAGCACTGGCACAGGTTGCCCAGCGGCGCTGTGGAGTCTCCATCCCCAGAGATGTTCAAAACCGGACAGGACACGGACCTAGGCAACCAGCTCCAGGCGGCCCTGCTTGAGCGTGGGGTTGGGCGGGATGATCCCAAGAGGTCTCTTCCAACCTCAGCCATTCTGCGACCTCAGCATGCGGAGTAAGGCTGCTTGTGCAGGAGCATTTGCCTGCCGGTCTCACACCAACAGGAAAATAAACTGGAAGACAGCAATGCTGTAGTCATCTTGGATTGCCCAATGCATTTTGAACTCTTTTGGACTCTTATGTAATAAGAATAATTTTTTTGAGAGGCACAAAGCCAGTTACTAAGGTACATCCCTCCCGTGCCACACAAACATTTTTCCCTCTTCTACATTACGAGCACTGGTAAAGTTGATTGCAAAGACGCCTCACCACCTTAAAATGAGCTACAAACTGAAGAGATCAAACAGAAATGCCTTCCAAAGATCGTGACATTTTAAGATAGAGAGTAACATTTTTTAGTTTCTGGAAGGGAGGGTGAAACAAGTATTTATGTTTCTTCCAGTTCTTCTTCGCACTTGTGATGCCACTGGCCATGTAAAATTGACAAACTTGGGGGAATGAAGACAACAAAGGAGAATTGCAGAGAAGTGGTTGCTGCCCCCCACGGAAGACCATGTAGTGGGGTTTTTCCCAGTTACTCAAAGCACGTTACCCTAGTGAGGGACACAGTGCAGGTATCGCAAAGACAAACACTGCAGGAGCACTTCTTCCCTGCATTACGTTAGGAAGGCCACAACGGGGCAGGCCAAGCACCTACCTGGCCAACATCTTCGCATCGACACCACCCAGCGTCAGATGTCAACCAGGGAGCAGGGCAACCATCTCTGCTCCTTTGAAATTACTCTCCCAGCTTCCAAGAGCCTTTAACTCAAGGGATCTGTGAACCACAGTTGCCATCGTTTTATCATCCTCGATGGATTTTTCCTTCATTAATTTGGGCAATTTTCACCTTTCTCTGCTCCACTTCTACCTTAACAGAACTTAAGTGTCCTTCAGATATATCCTTACTGGGCTGACACGTCCTATTCTATTTAATTATTCCCTGTGAAGAATGTGCATCTTCCAACAGTTCAGTTGCATCACGTTTGAGTAATGGAAAGAAGGAAAAGCAGACTGTACGCCAGGTTCCAGACACGGTCAAATCACAGTTACACATATTAGCAGTGTCTTCTTTCCTGTCTCAATAGCTCACTGCTTTTCAATAAAAGCAGGATTAGGAGCTGACTTTCTCTAGAATAATCGAGTGTAACTCCAGTATCACTTTCCTTAGTAGGAATTTTTGGTTAGAAATTCCTAAGCAGAAATCCATCAATGTGTATATGAAGTTAGAACAGTTTGTGTTATTCTGCATCTACCAACACAAAATTTCAAGTCCTGTTTCCACTGCCCAGTCTTTCAAAATGGAGAGATCCTTCTGCAACTTTTTACCAACATATTTCTTTTAGCAGATTTATAAATATGCTGAAAAGCATGTACTTTACAAGATTCCCGTGAAATTCAACAGGATAAAAAAAATTCTATGTCCATATTGCAAAAACTGAAGATTAAGTCCTACTCTTTGTTTTCTATGTTGTTACTCCATGAGAGGTCTTCCCTTGTCTCACAGCACCTCGGTTCCCATGGATTCTTTAACAACAGGCTTATCAAAAGCCTTTGGGAATCCCAAAAGTACATCAACCAACCCATCCATGGCCACACTCTTATAAAGCCCTTCAGAGAACTTCGGCAGATCTGCAAAACAAAACACGCTTCCAAAGGGGAAATAAAAAATAAAAGGCAGCCATAAAAAGCCATACTGACTCGTCTGTAATTCATGCCTATTTATTCACAAATTCAATTTACAGAATAGAGAGATGTGGCTTTGTGCCTGCACCTCCCTCAAAAATCTTAAAATACTGGCATATTTCCATTTCCCCTGAAAGGAGCAGTTACGTGATGGGTTATGCACCCGAGTTCAGACTTCAGCGATTTCAGATTCAAATTTAAGTCACCGGTGTGTGTCATCAAACCACGGCACTTAAACACTGTTCGTGTCGTTGATTTTCTCTAAAGCCAATTCTTTTGGCATATTTGTGAGACACGTACTCTTAACGACTCTCCCCAAATTGAAAGATTCTATCTCAGAGCCTGCTATTACAGGATACTGCACTCCAAGTTTCCGATATGCTTATCATGCCATCATTTTCCATGCAAACCTCCCTAAACACCTCCATAGCAAACACAGGTGCACAAAAATCATTAACTTTTTACTTTAAGTTTTACTTTCTGTAGGTGTTCTTTCTTATCCCCCGTTCCTATCAGCTTTACAAATTCTGCAGCCATCTCTCCCTGCCCCACCCCAGCACATCAGCAGAAGAAAAGGATTTATGGCCGGTTTTATTCCTTTTGCAAGTTGTTTCTCAAACTCTTTTTGTCTGCCTTATTCTGGTTTTTATATTTGACCCATATGTGAGTTAACGACTCTCCCCATCTTATGTAATTCCCCCTTCTGAAATTAAACGCATCAGTCGCTGTTTGGCTTTTATTATTCCTGCAAGAATATTAAAGAAGTCTGGCTGTTCCAAAGCAACATCTGAATCCAATTACCTGAGCGCTGCTCCAGACCAAGTCAAGAACTGCTGCTTTTCTCAGGGATTCTGCGAGTCGCAGCTCTGAGAAGTCATCACCTGTGGCAGACAAACAATCGCACCCCGACGTGTGTGATGCAGCCCATGCCAGGGTAACTCACTCTTCCTTTTGCTTCTCTGTCTGGTCCTTGCTGCCCCTCTGATTTCCCTTAACAGAGCGGTCATTCACTCCACCACGCTGGGTGGTCAGTAACCAGGCTGGTTGTTCTCCACAGGGCTGATATTTCAGTCCAGATAACTTTTACTGACAAAACCCACCAGGAATCAGATTTAACACTAAAGCTTTCTTCAGCACATACTGCCACTTCGTCCTTGGGTTGAGCTATTCCATCCTTCCTGTGTAATTTGTGCCCTAGTACTAGAAGGTCCCACTGACAGGTCTGATAAGCCTTTCAGATTAGCATTCCCATTTCCCACCAGCCACTCCAGTTCCCTGTTGTACTCTCCAGATTTGCCTGTAGAAGCACACAAGATTTGGTCCAGACACCCTTTTTTTCCCCCCCTCCCCAACCCTGCTGAAAAACGACTATTTGTTCAAACTACTCTTTGCCATTTCCACTACGTTCTGCCAGTCTCAGTCCTGACACTTGTTCAAAAGCACACGGATCTTGCAACCTCACCCCAAGGAAATGCATCATCCCAAACTGTGTGCTCTTCCACACTGAAGAAACTGTTAAAGATTCCCCTACGAAAGCTTTTCAGTTTCAAGTGCCAGAAACCTGGTTTTGATTTTCTCTAGATGAAGTCTTTCCTCTCCACACAAGCTCCCTCTGTTCCACGTGTCTGTAGCTCCCAGTGAGTATGAACACTTTCCTCCTTTACCACACTCCCAGCTACACAGCGAGACTCCTGTCTGCCTGACCTTGTATTTCCCTGCAGGTGACAGCAGAGGCATTTCAGGAAACATCATCAGAAAAGCTTTTATCTGCCTACACAGAAAACCCAGGTTTGCCTCTTTGCTGCACCTCCCTGAGAGGTGAGTTCCCACGCAAGCTGTGACCGTGCTCTTCCCCTACATTCCCTGGAAGTCTGTCCAGATATCTGCTGACCCCACCACTTCTGCACTTTATCATCCTACCTCCTCTCATCGCTGAATCAATTATCTGTATGCCCAGTAACAAAATTAATGGATACGGTAGTCTAGCACCCAAGATAAAGAGGACATGCAATCAAATCCCTCCAGGAACACAGAACCCACCACACAGATTCCGCCATTGCCTTACCCAAACCGCAAGACCTTCACAGGAAAGGGAACAAACTCAATTAGCTCATTTATGTAAGTACAGGAATCTGCCACATTTGGGAAACTTTACCCTCTCACCAGATTTATTCGCAGAGCCCTCAGCGTTTTAATCCAGCAACAGCATTGCTTACGGAAAAAGTAATAAAATTAAGACTTTGTAGAAAAAATATTCATTGAGAAAGCTCCTCTTTGCAACCTCTGATCAGGTCCTAATGTCAGTTCTAAGCTGCACTGTACCCAATTCCTCTGCAACATCACGCTCAGGGTCCCCACCAATGCATCGCGCCGAAGCAGCAGACCGTGCATCCACAGGCTGCAGAAACACACCTTGCAGTGCTTCTGCTCCTGCTTCACACTGTCCGTCCCATCCTGTCCCTTAGCGTTCGTCGGCCCCTTGATCCCACAGATGTTACGCACACCACGATCCCCAAACGAGTCAGTCACGTCACGCTGAAACACATCCAGTTTCGACTTCAGACATCGCCTATAGCCATATCCACATCTTGGCAGCACCCGAGACCTTCTGACTCCCATTAAGGCCGTTCAAAAGCTAAAATAAGTCAATTAAGGAAGGCTGTTGTGAAATCACGTCTACATTAGGACTTGTACCTGTGGCTTTAGAGAAGGAACTGTCGTTAAATACGCCAGGTTACCTCCTCCTGTAGATAAGCTTCTGGCTGGCACAGCGTGAAGCACCCAGTCAAACTCCAGCATAACCTAAACTAAGAAAAACATAGACCTGGGAAGTCTTTTGCCCTGGTTACAACTCCCTTCTCATTCTGTGTTTTTATTGCCTGTTTCCCAAACAGGAATCGCCTCTCTGGATGCGGCAGCGCAGACCCACGGCGCGGGTCTCTCCGCAGCAATCCTCTCCCACCCCACACTGGCGCGGAGTGCCATTCCTTCCAGAAAAAAAAAAAAAAAAAACAAAACAATTAAAACTGGGCTGGACAGGATTTTTCGAAG